ATCTTGGTCTAGAATACTATACGTCTAGCGCGTCTCCTCTACTAGCTTAAACTAGGCTATAATCGCGATAGGATCCTCGTAAGCGGCGCGCTAACTATGTAGTCTTCTAGTCTACTTTATCTAAAGCTCTAGCTAGCTTTAGATAAAGCGTAATACCTAGTTCTTACTAATAGGCTATAAAGGTAGATCTTAGCTACGCGTAGTAAGTAATACGTCTGCCATTCGTCGCACGTCAATAATATACAGTAGAAAACCACGCTGGTTAAGGGCTAGGATCTATTATACGAGAGACTGCTCTTTAATAAGTAATAGCTTTTAGTTAATAGAGACTATCTCTAATCGTGGCTAGGTGCCTTAGACGCGGGCATATAGTATTAATTATAGCATATTATACGCTTTTGTAAGAGCGTAGATAGATTGTTTTAAATTATTACGATAAGACGCGATAGCAAGACTTATTCTGCCTTCACGAGAGGTCTNTATAGAGCGTTGTTGTCGCGGCATGGTGGTGGTTACGGAGAGAGTCGCGTCAGGTTTGGTGGGGTGCCCAGCTTACTGGTTTGCCCAGCTTACTGGTGGAGCACGTTAGATAGATCTGTGCTGACATAATCAATCTCGAATTTCTTGACGCTGAACCCCAATGTTACATGATATCCGACTCCGCATACCAATGTCAGTCGCAATCCCCTGCACGCGGGCCACCGCCCAGCGTGTCGCCTTTCGCTCCATACGATGCAAACGGTATGCAAGCACCGAGACGGTCGTAGTCGACGCCGCTCCTACAACAGCGCCTCCTCCGCCCGCCAAGCGTGAACAACGATTACCACGAGAGGATCTCAGCCAGCGCCTGCACAGGGCATTGTACCCCGAATACTATGGCGAGAACGGCCAGCCTATCGATGGAGCATTGAAGACACACACAAGGCGGAAACAACCGTCCAAACCGATAAGTGCAAAGTGGGAAGCCGTAATGAAGCAAAAGAACGTCAACCACACATTGAGTACGCATCCATACACCTTCTATAACAAACCCCAATTGCTAACCCCGCCACCACCCCCAGGCCACCAATTCGGCGTCCCAATCTTCAAGCAATCCGCACGCAACATCAAGAAAACCTGTCCTCACCCAATTGCCGCCGTCACCGCTACGCAAATCAGCACCCTCGACCCCACCGGCGCCCGCACCCGCCTCTTCGCAAAAGACAACCCAGAATGCGCGCGCGTTGGCGACATCCTGCTTGTCCGCCAACGCTCCGGCGACCCCTTCGCTGGCGTCTGCATCAACATCCGGCGCCGGGGCGCCGACACCGCCATCTTGCTCCGCGGCCAGCTCACCCGCGTGGGGGTGGAGATGTGGTATAAGATTTACAGTCCGCTGGTTGAAGGGATTGAAGTTGTGCAGCGGGCTGCTAAGCGGGCTAGACGCGCTAGACTGACGTATATGCGCACGGTGAAGCATGATCGCGGTAGTGTGGAGAATGTGGTTAGGGTGTATCTGAGGCAGAAGGCGGCGCTGGGGACGGCCGAGGGGCAGAAGAAGAAGGGAGGTGCGGCAGCGATGGCGGGGGGGAAGAAGAAGGTTGGGAGGGGGAAGAAGAGGTAGGTTGGCAGCTTCTGGTGCATGTGAACGGGGATTTGTACCGCTGTTGTACAGTATTGTATCATGAAATCAAGGGCCTTTATGCCATGTGCAAAGAAAAATGACTGTGCGTTGTGTGTGTATATTATGCTGTTGTCAAACTTAATTTTATGTGGTTGCAGTGAGATACTTTATGTTCGTTACTCCACCCCCCCCCCTCTAGATATGTTATCTTGACATTTGGATATTTCATATATATGTGTGTGTGTATGTCTTCATATGTTTACATCCCTTCCTTTCCCAGCCTTGCTAAACTTCTTTCTTTCTTTCTTCCTTTTTTTCTTCAGCGCGTCTCTATGGTGTATTTTATACTGAACTAAAAGGAGGACAAAAAAAGGTTAGGGTGGTCTCTGGGGGGGGGAGGGTAGTTTACCTGGTTTTGTGTTTTACTTGGATTTGGTGCTATTGATTGCAAGGTGTATGAATCGTGGGTATGCGAGTTCTAGGCGTATGAGCTGTGGGATATGGGTAAGTTGGAGGTATTTGTTTCGTTTTTTGTTTTTCGTTTTTCATTTTGCGTTGTGATGTTTGTGGTGGTTTGGCTGGGTTGATGTGATGTTCTGGGTGGTAGATAGGTAGGAAGGTGTATACTGGGATTTGGGGGCTGTAGGTGGATTAGAAGGAGTGAGTCAAGGAGGTGAGGCGGGAGGAGGGTTTGTAGTAGATTTTGGGTTGTTTCGGGGAGTGAGTGTTTTGGTGTTGTAATTCTTGGTGTTTAGAGTGGGTTGAAGTGAACTTGGAGGGATCCAGATGATTCCTTAGCATTGTAGTGATAGAAGATATAGAAGAAAAGAACTGTTGTGCCAACCCCCTTTTGGTCAACGAACGCAAGAAATCAAGCCAAATTTCACACACTCAGCTTCTCAAGCCTTTCAATGATCCCATCTAGCTGACATACCACGTCGTTGTATACTGCAGACTGCAGCCCCTTATTGCTCAGCTTGTTCCCGAACCCAAAGTTGCATTCAAGACATTTTTGTGCGATTCGCTGGTACTCTGGACCCAATGGAATCCTTCCATCTAGAACAAGTCTGCGAGCAGCGAAAACTGGATTGTTCTCGTCCATATTCGTCATCTTTTCTTCAATCGGCGTCCAGTAGGCGATCTCGAGCATTGCAACACCTAGGAAGAATAGCGTGGTGTTGTTGATACCGTAACGTGTTTGTTCTGAGATCGTTCCAGTGTTTTGCTGTAGGTCCTCCATTTGTCCGTCTGCTACGGTAGTGGGTCGTGATATCTGCGAGTTGAAGTGTAAGGTCTTGAGAGCTTCGACGTTGAATGAAGATCTTGATCCAAGATAGCCAAGATCTCCTAGGCGCCATCGCTCAGGAAGCCAGGGGGTGTCGTTGTACTGTAAAGTTGCAACTGCCAGTCTATGTGCTAGCTTCAAGCGATCCTTGGGTTGCAAAGCATCGTACATTTCCTCTCTGAGCGCGTCCTGGATTGTAGATATAGTAGAAGTTGCCGAATTATCCAGTTGCGGCTTCGCTGCTCTCTCCTTGAGGTAGAAGAGATGCTTGTACATGTGCGCGCTCTCCAAGTAGCCAATACATTCCTTTGCCGACTTCAGCAACCGTGCCTCATAACACTCTCGCAGATAGTCACAAATACTCTTTGTCTTGCAAAGATCAACTCCGAATGTGAATAGCGTACCAGTAACATCTGTGTTGATCTTTGTTGGAAGTGGTGGTGTAGGTACTTGGAATTGTACACGCCGAGCCTTTTTCTTAAGAGCTGAGTCTCTCGAAAGATCACAAGATGCCTTTTTCTTCAAAGTCTTGGAAGAGCTCGAGACGACAGGATTGAGTAGTTCGAGTGCTAATTCGGAGCACATATCAGCACTCTCCTGGATCTTGGACGTGTTTGGTAGTGTGTCTGCAGACGTACTTGTCGATTGTACGAATAGCCAGATTGTAGATTCTGGTAGTGGCGAGCTGAGGGCGATTAGCGCATACCAAGAAAAGCCATCTATATATTTACCTAGAAGAATTTACATAGCTGGACTCGCGACAAGATATAGCAAGGTCCAAGGTTACGTCATGGTTTACATCGGCATCAAGGCATAGTTTAGCGTCATGTCCGCAGTGCGCAGGCTGATCACAATGCCAAACTCCACAAAGAGATTCGTGAAGCTTTCGAGAAACGGTTTGAATCGTCTCGAATCGATCGGGCAGTTTGACATGTTGGATACAGATACCTGAAGGAACTTCCTGCTGCTCAATAGCAACAACTTGCGACCGAAGCGAGATTAGCTCACTGTTCCGATCTCGCAGGCTGTTTAGACATTTTTCGTATCTCGACTTGTTGAATGTAAACTTCAGCGGTTTGCTTAAACGTTTGTAAGCTGTCTTAAAAGACTCAGTCTACGACAAGATTAGCATATGATCCTAGTATGCTTGAAGTCAGGACGAACCGGTAACTTCTGGCTCAAAAAGGGATCAAAACCTTCCAGTTCTGATGCTATATCCTCAAGAAATAGACCGGTGTGTTGAATGATCTCCCCGCAAACGTCGTAGTTGTCTTGAAGTATTGCTCTCAATTGGTCTTCAGTCTCTTGGTTTACCCACCTTTGGTTATTGTAGTCCTTAAGGTCAACCTTTGTTTGCTTTTTGTTTTGAATCGAACCCAGTAATAACCGTACTTCGTTTAGGAAAATTACTCTTATGGCTTTAAATTCCATAAAAATATCCTCAAGCTCTCGAGTGCAGCGGCGGAATGTGCGTATCTTGTCACATATCATTGAGTAGGACTTGACAACTTCCAAAAGGATAGGTAAAATGCCAACTACTAAACCGGCTATCTCCATACCGGATATCTCCCTAGAGGTCTGAATACAAAGAAAAGAGAAGCATGGAAGAGCAATGTGGCAGTCTGATCGCGGCTGGATAGACGTCTTGCGAAAGCGCTTCATCATGCACAGCCCCGCACACTACACAGCCCCGCTTCAGCCTGATGTGCTGTCGATGAACAACAAAACAAACTATTTGAATCTTACAGTCCGTCCACTTCTGCGTACTGCACCCCTGAAGTCGAGTTTCCAAAACCCCGATCGTTCTTTTCACCTTCGGGCCTCAGTTACGAGCGACACTTGATGCGAATTTTGACCAATGACTTCAATCGCCTTGAGCTCACAGATAAGTAGGGAAAACATTGAGAGGTGGCAACAGGAGATATATTCGAGGCCAGAGAGAGACCATGGAATGATAGCCCACATGTTTGATACATGCCTCGGGCTGCTTCGAAACTTGATACAACACTCCAGTCCTACATGGATCAGCACACCTGGAAACCGCACACTCCGGCAAGGCTACGCCACGTTACAACTCTGGGAGCATGGCTATGGGGTATCTGAAGGAAGACTTGACGATCGCCTCAAGCGGTCAACGGAAATTCGACAAGCCACCGTCGAGATCCTGATCCATTTGTGCGGATGTTTGTTAGACGGTGATTCAAATGTCTATTCATGCAACGGGAAGTACTGATTAGAACAGGAATGTCGAATTTTGTCTTGCCGCAGGTGAAAGATGCCTCAGTCCAACGTCAACAAACAACAGCCTCAGAGCTTTATCGTGAATGGAAATGGTACTTGAAAGCTACCGATGAGAGCGAAAGTGAGGATGAAAGCGACAGTGGCGACGATCATGAAGAAGAAGACAATTTACCAACACGAGTAGATGTGATGATCCGCAGATTAAAGACATACATAAACTGCTTAATTGGTCTTGGCACTGCCTTGGAATGCCCAGCTCCAGATGAATCCCACGACGATGAGCCTGGCGTGGTAGGATTGGGCCCGCGTTTTGCGCACGACTATCACACTGATCTGATACAAGCGAAGTATCCAGTTGCTGATGTATATTTAGTGCAGGTTTTGGGCAAAATCAGCTGGTCGCGTTTCTTACGTATGCAGCGTGAACGCGACAACAACACCGCTGCGACGCCTGAGTTACAGGGCCTACTAGCACCCCTTGCCACCAAATCCACTGGCCTTAGTTCTGAATTTCAGGACTCAGGGATTGGCACTTCTCTCGCAAAATCACAGTCATCGTATGCGGAGTCGACTGTATCGTTCATGACGAGCATATCGGGTGGCGAGCGAGTCCGCATCCCACCGCTGCCAGCAGAAGGGGAAAATGGTCAGCCCTTTGAGTGTATCGCGTGCGCAAAAATCGTACGGGCAGAGAATAATCGGGAATGGAGGTATGTCGAACCTCACGATTCATCAAGCTTGTACTCATTTGGAACAGAAAGCACCTCTTTGGCGATTTGCGACCTTACAACTGCTTCTATCGTGAATGCCACTTCAACGCAACCGCATTTACTAGCCTCCAAACTTGGAAAAATCATCTAGAACTCGAACACAACCTTGGACCCGCATGGGAAGCGATTGAATGTCCACTTTGTTTGGATCTCACAGGAGATGGAAAGAGCGCCATCTTGACACATTTTGCGAGACATATGGAAGATATTGCTCTTTTGGCTTTACCACCTGCAGTAGAACCAGATGCCGAGTCAGAAACAAGTATAGAAAGGCCCTCTAATATCAATGAAATGGAGCCGACATCCCCAAGGGAGCCAGAACCAGCTCGATCGCCAAGCAACCCGCCCTCATCGCTGCATTTAAATGCGCAACCACGGCCACAACCAGACGTTCCACCACTGAACTGGGATTCAAGAGACCCAAAGAATCTACAGGAGATCAGTGATATCTTAGATATGGAAATCCGCGAGTGTGGACAGAACCCGTCGAAATGGAAACCAAACGAGTGGCCTGTTCAGCAAAAGATCAGAGAACTTGTGGACAAGAAACTCCACGAGCTTCAACAAGAATCCATCATTGAAGGATCAGAAGAGTGGCAGCATATCCGGGAGTATGTGGAGAGTATGGCCAAGCTCTTGAGTAAAAAGGCACGCGAGATACGCGAGCATGGTGCAAAAAATTCGGGTTATGAATCAGAAGAGTCGCGGGACCTACAGGACACCAGAGAACTCCGAGACGAGAAGGAGCAAGATCATGGCCAAGAACCGCCGGGCCGTGCTAACTATGTTCGATATCCCATTAAACGAGCCAAGCGGTCGTTCGAGGGTGATACTACCATAATGGGCGGCTATCTTCAACTCGAGTCTTTCGCAGGAGGCATATATCTCGTCGTTGTAGATCAGAATGAGCCTCATAACCAGTTATTAAGAGAGCAGCTAAGCAAGGGCATTGAATGTCGAAGGGCGGGAGAAGCAACACTTCTCTGTACCCAAAAGAATGGGACGGCACTATTACTCGATTTCCAAGATCCCGCCCACTGTAAATCCGTCTGGATACATATCGAAGAGGCAATAGATGACCCTATACACGCATATCAAATAGCCAGTACTGAAAAACCACGTGTACTGGCTTCCCCACCGCATACGAACCGTACGAATCCACCAGATCATGCACCAAACTCGCCAAGTATCACCAGTGACGATGCATTACTACCTGAAAGCCTTGGGGAGCCGTTTCTAGAGCCGTCCCAGCCCTATTTGTGGAAGTTTGGCTCAAATCCCAAGTCACCATCTCTCAATCCATATGTACAAGGCAAAGCATCACCACCGGTCGGAGAGCCACTTGAAACATCGACCCTCAGTTCTCGTCTCCGCGCAAAGCAACCTCAGGTGGAGGTCTCTTCGCCAAACGAACCTTCTTTTGGCCCGCAGCAAGACGTTGAGACACTCAAGATAGAAACTCACAGTGGAACGGGAATGATTTCCTTGATAACAGCTGGAGCAACTGCAGCAAAAACTGCAGGAAGATATGCTAAGTCCTGGTTTGGAGCCAGAAATGTCACAACACCGCCTGGCAAGGACGTCGGACCATCATCCAGCCAGTCAAAGCAAACAAAGCCCACTGGATCTGATTATCGCGATACGAAATTTTTTGAAATCTCAGGGACAGGCACATCGAGACGGTTTTGGATTTGTTCAAACTGCGGTGATGACACAAGGCCCATTTCTCAACCCGTTTGTATTCTTTGTGATCACCCAATGTGTTCCCTCTGTTGTTTATATGAAATGCCTCTAAAAACAAGATGATCTAATCTTCTGAGACGTATGCTTTCATGCTCCTGGTCAGAATATATGCGAGCTCTTCTATGTATAGAATTTTCAAGAGATTCATTATATACATTGGTAGTTAAGATAGATCTGATCACCTTTTGTTGAACTTATCCAAAATTTTCATTTCTGCTAAGTCTTTGTAAACCCCCTACTGTGCCCTATCTCTCAAAAAAGGTTTTATGGTCTGCGACACTGCTTTTCTGGTACTCATTATAGCCATGTCTCGAAGATTGCGGGTCCTGGCAATATTTCTTCAATACCTTTTGCTTGTTGGATGCTCACCCAACACATAGTGCGATATGAAGACCTCTCCAACATGTTTACAATGATCTCCTCTATGTCCTTCCAGCAAAAGCAAAATCTATTTCGAATTTTGTTAGACACAACTCCGTGGAAGCGTGTGATTGCAAAAACAATTTCATAGGGCCATACTAGCCAGGACGTTCGAGGGAAATACAAGACGCTTCATGAGACACCTCAAGATACACCTTGGATTGTAGTGAGACATAATTGGCGCTTTTAGTGATCACTTTGATCGGTTTTCTCTCAGGTGCTGTTACTATCGAAGCATCTAAATCTAGTTTATCCCATTTGACTGAAGGCTAGACTCTGTGTGTGAGAAGCCAATGAAATGAACACAGTGTATATCTGCAAATCTTTCATGGTGAGATGCTGGCAGCTGGCCAAGCATGCAAACATGACAGATGAAACTCTCAATAAGAAGTGGTAGGAGAGAATTAGAAGCTTTCTGAACATGAACTTGCAATGGATATCTACACTTAAATCAGAGATACTTTGTAATGAACTTCTATCAATCTAATGATGAAAATACCCAGCATTTTAACATGGCTACCAATTACTCCATTCCATCCGTACGCCCTCAGACTATGCCGAAACACCACTACTGCCTATCCACCAACCACTTACCCTCTGCAAGACTATCTTCAAACCCCTTCATATCCTCCTCAGCAAGACTGACCAAAACCTCGTACGCCGCCGATTCCTTCCCCTCTATATCTTTCTTCCTGGGCAACACTACGATACCACCCTCACTCACCCACGCCGCGCGCCGAATAGCAGCGGGCTGGGCATCTGAGGTGCCAGGAATACACCACTCGCGATCCACGCCCATATGCTGCCAGCTGGTAATGTAGAGATCAGGTCCATTACCGAACTTGAGACAGGATTGGTCGACTTGGGTGGGATCGGCGAGGATCTGATTGAATTTCCTGCCAATCCATTGCTCGTTGACGCCGTGGACGGCATCATCGATATCTGTAATGAAAGAAGCGAGGCTCTGGATATTGATCTGGAGGCGCGCGACGCTTACGATGGGAAGGAGCATGGGGTGCTCTACTTCGTCTTCTAAGTCGGTTTGTACCGAAATATTTTGACATGTGATGCTATTACCGCTTTGGAAAAGGTCCCATGTAGGCATCTTGGAGGCTACTAGATTTCCCAGGTAGTCAGAAGATGAGAAGGGTCCAGCGAGATGTTTCCGGAGATCGACGATGACGGCCAAGGTTGATTTGGTGTTGCCGGACGCGATGAACCCTGGGAGGCGGGCTTGAACGATATTAGCCCAGACTAGTCCTGCTAGAGAAGTGAAGTGGGTTATGTGTTTCTCTGTGTGCTGAGACGTGGCTTTGCTGAGACTAGTGATAACCGAACTTGGGAAGCGAAACATCTTTGTGACGACTTTGTAGGGTAGCTCATGAATTGCATTTGCTGAACGTTGCAGCACTTTTTCAGTCTGTGGATCAGTAGGCCCAACGTTCAACTTTTGTGCAAGGGTAGCGAGATCCCCCCTAGCAAGATTGGCATCTGTAGCATTGTCCGTTGTGATTAGATTTGAGCTGAATTCACCGTGTCCTGTCTCTCGAGTGTAGTTATTCGAAGATTTCACAGCCGCACTCCATACCTCTAGGATTTTCGCGTTGCCAGATCCGTCAGTGATAGCGTGGTAAAACCAAACACTCAGGACTAAGCCTCCAGGTATAAAGGTTGCGTGGGTAGCAAAAGTAGGGAGTGGACCCCTCTTCAGACTAGTCATTCGTTCTGCATATGGGTCATCATCGTCGAGCCCAGGATGGTTTTTAATTAAAGCGGGACAAAAGACCTCTGCAGGAAGTTTTTCTGCTAAGAAATGCGTCGTTTCAAGTGTGGAGTAGTGATAATCGGTGTTGGCAGCCTCATCTAAGTTTGTAGTGAAAATACGGGCCGCCTCTGCTTCTGGGTCTATAGGATCAGGGAAAAGTACCTGAAGACAATCACTGGCAATGAATGGCATATTTACCGTTCCAGCAAGGTAAGGGAACCGCTTCAGTACCTCCTTGAAACCCAGGCGGAGTGAATCGATGGCTTCATCTGCGCGTTTGTTGTCAGGGAAAGGAAATACGATATAGTAGCGGCCGTATACGCGGATGTGTGATTGTCGGTCGAGGAAAGACAAATTCAGCTTTTTCTCGTTTGCCGACATCTTTGTAGCTGAGATCAAGGTCTACAGTAATTGGCTACTTCTTTTGTCGGCCCTAGACAGTATCTGGGTAGGCTTAGGTGACGTCTACGGTATATGTAGTTAGTAACTGGGTGACTGCCCTGTTGCCACAAAGATTGAGGTAGGAATATCACATACATATATATATATATATATATTTACCCTTTATGTAATGGAACAAAGCTGAGCGATCGTAATGAATTCACCATGTCGCGTTTGCCGTTGTTGACTAGCATCGAAACCTTGCAAACAATGTGGTTGTCACTGAACTGCACAACATCGCGTTTACCCTGTGAAAGTGAGCTCTTGATTCAAAATCTTGTTTGATGGGCAACTACAAATAAACAGTAAGCTCTTTTGATGTTTCAGATGAGCAACTTGGAAGGACTGGGTTTTATGTGAGGACCACAGTAAAGACTCAGTTTCCGACACGCTCGAGTGCAATCATGTCTGCTTGATTGACATCTTTGCCCAACACGCCAGCTTTCTGCAATATGCCAACAGTCTTTTCGACGACTGCCTTGTCGACACCCTTTACCTGCTGTGAGAACTTTACCGTCTTCAGCCATTCCCTAGCGTCTTCTTCCGAGTAGTCGAGCTTCGTGATGATAAACTTAACAGCCTCTTCCGCATTTTCCTCAAAGTGCTTCACGCCTTTATTCACCTTTTCCAGCACATCCTCTAACTCTGGCGCGAGTGGGGCCTTGCTGCCGCTCTTCGGTGTGAGTAGATGGTTTGCCGCAACAATCTTCCATGACGACCAAGGAGTGTAGATTTCGCCAATGCGCTTGATCTCCCCATTGTCATAATAGCGCTTCGAAGTAAAGTGCTCCCACATAAAAAAGTCTGCTGTGCCGCTATTAACAGCATCGCGCAAGTTTTTGAACGTGTTGAGTATCTCCACAGGAAACGGAGGGCTATCGGAGGATGCATTCAGCCAGCCCTTCTGGTCTGCCAGCACGAAGCTCATCACATAACTCCCGCTGCCAATCCTTGAAACACCTACTTTCTTATCTTTCAAGTCTTGAACGCCCTTCAGCTCATCCCGCTTCGCCCCAGTTGAGATGGCCCAGCATAGCGGTGTTTCGACATATGTGCCGACTATTCTGAAGCCTGCGTCTTGCTTGGCAGCTTGTGCTTTGCCCAGTGCTGAGATCCAGCCTTCTGTCAGACCAACGGCAAGATCAATCTCACCAGCCTGGATGGCGGTGACCATGTGACCGGTGCCAGAAGGAAAAGGAATGAGATCTACATCGAGGCCATAGTGCTTCTTTGCAAACTCTAGTGGGGTACAAAAGTGCTCTGAGTAGTTAGTTATGAAGCCTTCCATATCTTCATCGAAACTTACCGGGCACAAAGCCAGCTCGTAGTGGTGCCATGGTTGTCGCTTTGATTGAGAACCTGCGGAGGGGTCGAGCTCTTGATGCGGCGGGGAAACGCGCGAGTGACAAAGTGCGAAGCATTGCTCCAAGACTTAAGTACGTATCTTGCCAATCGGAATGTTGACTAGCTGCCGCGAATTAATTGACCCAAGCTGAGCCTGAGCATAGATCCAGCGTTGAGAGGGGTAGTGCCGGCCACGAGGTCAGGTTACCATTCGTTAGCCACCACGGTGATCGTCTACTAGTCGGGCTTTCCGACATCGTTCCGACCAGCGCCGAAACCTTCTTCTTTCCGTCACTATCGCTTCGATATCTGGTCTTGATTACGACAGCGCTCCTACGTATGCTTACATGGTTTTTGCGGGGATACCCCGTATGCCAACATAGTGCCTACCTATCCATTGGCTTCTCCCTGCAGCACGTGGTGCGATATTTCCACGGCTCACAACGCAACGCCATGGCTTCTGATGGAGATAGGGTATTGATCAGAGCAAGGACAGTAGCAGTAGTCGGCGCTGGTCCTTCAGGTGTGATAGCAGCAAAGTACCTGAGGGCCGAGAAGGCATTTGAAAAAATTGTCTTGTTCGAACAGAGAAGTCGACCTGGGGGGATATGGATCTACACTGGCGAGCAGCGAGACGAAAACCTTTTCGACATACCCCAAACGAACCCGAACAAGGACTTTCAGAAACCGGAATGGCAACCCAAAGAAAAGGTTACCAACGGAGACGTTGGAATAAATGGCGCCGATAACACATTCAAGACTCCCTCTTTCTTATCGCCAATATACGAAACACTTGAGACCAACATTCCCCGCGGGCTAATGGGTTTTCAAGACCTCAACTGGCCATCTGACAGCCAGCTCTTCCCTACCCACGAAACAGTCCTAAAATACATCGAAGAATACTCCACCGACGTCCAAGACCTAGTTCAATACTGCACTCAAGTTACCAACGTCGTACCCGTCGACCCCAACAGTCCCACCAGCCCCTGGACCGTCACAACCAAAAACCTCCTAACCAACGAGTCCACTTCCGAAGTCTACGACGCAGTCATAGTAGCAAACGGCCACTTCATCGTTCCTTCCATCCCCTCCATCCCGGGTATTCAAGACTGGGCCGCCCACCACCCAGGTCGAATCACGCACTCAAAATACTACCGCCGCGCCTCAGACTTCACGTCAAAGAAAGTAATCGTAATCGGCAACTCCGCCTCAGGGGCCGACATCAGCGCTCAAATCGCCTCTACCTGCACCCTCCCCCTCCTCTGGTCCACGCGCTCCCAATCCCTCTTCAGCACAACCCACGGTGCCGCTTCAGCCGATCAGCGACGCCACGAAGTACCACCTATAGCTCGTTTCCTACCGGCAACCCGCGGTGTCGAATTCGCAGACGGATCTCAAGCCCACGACATCGACGCCATTGTCTTCGCCACCGGGTACTTTTACAGTCTACCATTCCTGGAATCCGTCGAGCCAAAACTGATTACAACGGGGGAAAAGGTAAACCATACATTCCAGCATTTATTCTACGCACCAAGACCCAGTTTGTCGTTCCTAGCGCTAAATCAGCGTGTAATCCCTTTCCCCATTGCGGAAGCACAGGCTGCGGTGCTGGCGCGCGTGTATGCGGGGCGTCTTGATTTACCTCCCCTTGCTACAATGCGCGACTGGGAGAAGGCAGTGGAAGAAGAGATGGGTTCAGGTCGAAATTTCCATTTGCTCAACTTCCCAAAGGATGGGAAGTACATCAATGAGATGAGTGCGTGGGCAGCGCAAGCGGAGCACAAGGAAGGATTGGAAAATGGAGGGAAAGGCAAGAAGCCGCCAGTTTGGGGAGAGTGGCAATTTTGGTGCCGCGAGCATTTTCCGAAGATTAGGCAGGCGTTTGGAGCTAGGGGTGAGGCGAGGAAAGAGGTCAGGACGCTGGAGGAGTTGGGGTTCGTGTTTGAAGGGGAAAAGGTGGAGGGCGAGAAATAGACAGGGATAGATGGTATAGATGGTATAGACGGTATAGAGTGTTGGGAAATATGATATACATAAGTGACCAGGAAAGCTGCTCTAGTGATCCCAAATTTTCGTAATACCCACCATGGACATGTACCAAATCAATCCCGTATACACAAAACATCTATCAACACGAGCACCCATGTGGTGAATAGTAGACTCCCCACCCCCCAACGCCGTGGCTATGCATCCAAATTCAGAAATCCATACCATCTGGATAAAACAAAAGTGGGGGGTTTACTATCTCCTTCCCTTGCCTTGGCCGGCACCACTCGCACCGCCACCCATTCCAGGCATACCGCCCATGCCGCCCATCATTTTCATCATAGCACCCATGTCCATACCACCCATACCACCCATACCTCCGAGGGCCGAGAGATCCGGCATGCCGCCTCCGCCTCCTCGCCCGCCGCCGAGCATCTTCATCATAGCTCCGAGATCTGGCATACCGCCTCCCGCTCCGCCCATGCCTCCTGCGCCACCCATACTCTGCATGCGCTTCTGCATGGCGGCGAGTTGTTGCTGCTTGTTTCCACCGCCCATAGCGCCCTGTGCCTTTTGCATGTTGGCCATGCCGCCCTTCATCTTCTTCGCCATGCCTGCCATCATGCGGTGTTGGGTGAGCAGTTCCTCAACTTCGCGCACTGACGTGCCTGAGCCACGGGCTATGCGTGTCATGCGGGTTGGCTGGTCCACAAACATCTTGCCGTCGGATTCGAGTTCTTTTTCAGTCATGCTGTCGCAGATGTAGATCATACGTTTTAGTTTGGCGCCGCCTTCTTCGTCGTCCATGCCTCCCATCATGCTGCCCAATCCAGGAATCATGCCAGCCATCTTGGAGAGAGGACCCATCTTCATGATGTTAGAGAGCTGGTCGCGGAGATCCTTGATGGTGAATATTCCTTGAGTGATGTGCTTCATTGTGTCCTTTTGGTCGAGCTTGAGTGATTGAACGTGCTCGACAAGACCTTGTACGTCACCCATTCCTAGCAGTTTAGAAACAAAGGCTTGTGGGGCGAAGCGTTCGAGATCCAACATGTGTTCACCATTACCGAGGAAGACAATGGGGGTGTGTGTTGCTGCGACTGCAGAAATGGCACCGCCACCTGCTGCCGCACCGTCGGTCTTGGTGATGACAATTGCTCCGAAGTCTGCTGCCTCCTTGAAAGCGCGAGCTTGGGATTCCGCAGCCTGACCAATAGTTCCGTCCAATACCATGATAGTCTGATCGGGCGTGACGGCAGTCTGAATTTGCACCATCTCGTCAAAAAGGTCCTTCTCTTGCCTGTGTCGTCCAGAGGTATCCACGATGATGATCTCAAAGCGCTCTTTCTTGAACTTCTCCACACCTTCAGCCGCCACTACTACGGGATCTGTCTGCGTGTGGCTACCATAGTATGGGATCTTTGCTTTTGTGGCGTTTTGCTTCAGCTGATCGAATGCACCGGCACGGAATGTATCTGCGCAGACCAGACACGCCTTGAAGCCTCTTGCCTGGTACCATCTCGCCAGCTTTGTACATGTTGTCGTTTTACCCGCACCCTGGAGACCAACAAACATGATGACGTTCGACTTCCCCTTTCTCGGCTTGAAAGGCTCGGCATGCGGATCAACCATCTTGACGAGCTCATCGAAGACGGCCTTTTGAATGAGGCGCTTCTTGTTGACACCCGGCGCAAGGTGCTTGAAGTCGACAGCGCGCTTTATCGACTGTCGCAGGTTCATGACGAGTTTGACATTGACATCGGCTTCGACGAGGGCGTTAGAGATCTCCTTGACCATGGAATCGAAAGCCTTCCGCATATTAGCCACCTGTTAGGTATTGCTGTTTTGTCAAGTGCACACCTTCTCATCGAGATTGGGCGACCTCGTGAGGTCTGTGACGGCGGCATTGATGCGCCGCCCGAGATCTTGAAGCACCATAGCGGCGGTTGTGTAGGGATTTTGTTAGGGAGATGGGGGTGCGAGGCGTGGGGGGTGGTCGGTGATGTTCTCGTGGTGTTCTGTGGGGAATGCAGGCATGGCGGGGCGCGCTTTGCCCTGCCGTCGGCCTTTTGGTGTCCCTAACGCCGATCATCTGGAACTTTTTTCTGCGACCGCGCAGTGCCTTTCAACATCCACATCTACACAACCACAGTCACAATGGTCAACACATCTTTGAAGCGGAGACGGACCGAGGATCAGCTCAGAGGAAAGGTACCCAAGAAGGAAAAGAGAAAGATCAAGAAGCAAAAGCACTACCACAGTTCGTCCGACGAAGAAGAAGGTGCTGCGCGCGACGCCCCAGCACGAGGAAGCAGCCAAGAGCCAGACGAGCCATTCCAGCCCTCGGGTGCCAATGCGACTCTTCCGGGAAAGCCAGAACTTTCCAAGCAGCAGTTGAGAAAACAAGCAAAGTTTGAGGCGAAAAAGGCAGCGCAACAAGCAGCTGCGGCCGAGGAATCTTCAGCCAGTGACGATGAGGACGAAGCAGAGGATGCCGCGCCATCGACGAAGCCTGAGCCCAAGTTTAAAGCCAGTATACAAGCGAAGGCGCCAGTAAAGTCTGCGCTGAAGAAGACGGCTCCCGTCGATCACGCAGCCCCACTGCCAAGCGACGCCGAAGACGACAACGACGACGACTCTGAACCTGAAGCCGACGAGTTTTCCATTGCCGACTCAGAATCCGATGCCTCAGAAGCTTCTTCTGTCTCTGAAACCTCTACCGCTGCTGCGCGCAAAGTCCGCAAGCGCAACGACCCCGAGGCCTTTGCAAACTCCATCTCAAGAATCTTGGGCTCGAAATTGTCGACATCAAAACGCACAGAGCCTATTTTGTCGCGCTCGAAAGATGCAGCGACAGCGAACCGCGAGCTTGCCGACTCGAAGCTTACCGAGAAGGTGCGCCGTCAACTGATTGCAGAGCGCAAGGCTGCGCGGGATAAGGGTCGCATCAGGGATGTTCTAGGACTGAATGATCCCAGCGTCAGCACGGAAGCGACATCGACAAAGGAGAGGGAGCTCAGAAAGACGGCACAAAAGGGTGTGATCAAGTTGTTCAATGCAGTGAGAGCAGCCCAGGTGAAGGGTGAGCAGGCCGAAAGGGAAAGCAAGGCGGGCATGGTAGTCGGCATGGACAAGAGGGAGGAAAAGGTCAAGGAGATGAGCAAGCAGGGATTCCTCGACATGCTCACTGGAGGGCAGAAGAAGGAGCAGATTGCTGAAGCATAAAAGCAGGACAAAGGATTGTTTAGAATGTTCATGATACCATTTACTATATAAGCGTTTTCCGAGTCGTCCTCTACGCCAGTGCATATGCAAGCAGAGTGTTGATGTTATACATGCTTTGTACCAAATGTTGTGTATGTACGAAGAACCGGAAAAATGCCACCCAGCTCCGTATCTGGCACTTTGGCTGGGATCATCAGATCATCAGATCATCCCCTACTAAATTTCACTCCGCACCTTGATCAAATGGGCCTAGATTCGATATGTTGTGAGCATTTATCTGCTCTCGAAATCGCTAGCTTGCAAGTTCCTCGTCATGCTCGGCAACCGCACTACCAGCCCATCCAGCTCCTTGCTCATCTTGACTTGGCAACCCAGTCTGCTCGTCTCAGTGAGGCCAAAGGCCAAATCGAGCATGTCGTTTTCGTCATCATCAGGCTCTTCCATCTTTTCGTAGTAGGCTTCGTCTTCGACAATAACGTGGCAGGTCGAACAGGCGCATGAGCCTCCGCAGGCGCCCTCCATTTCTATGTCGTTTGCTTGAGCAATGTCGAGGAGGTTGTCGCCGTCGGCGACTTCAAAGGTCGAGGAGTGACCATCCTTGTCTATGAATGTGACCTTTCGTCTGGTACTGTTAGCGACCGGATCTATGAGTCAAGAGTAGACAGTGAAAACGCACTCCTCCCCAGGCCTAGGAGGGTCGAGGTGACCGTGGCGGGGTGCATGACTGGCTGAGAATTGTCGGCTGTTTCGCAGCCATGAGGGACTTTTTGGAGTGGTTACTTTGAATTGCCGTGGTAGAGACGTGGCCGCCCTCTGCGTATGCATCCCTCTCTGGCATGTCATGGCCGCCCAATGGCTGGACGATGTCAGTGGAGTCGACAAGGCGCTTCTCGCGCCTGCTATCCGTCCCTCCACCAACATCCAGCAAGCTCGGTTCGCCGCCATTGTGTGTGTATGTGGTCGCACAATTGAGAAGATGGCAGAGCTCAGGGGGCGAGTGCGCAAAAGAGCAAATGTTTGCTGGGGTAAAAGTCGCAACAAACGAAGCCGCCGATAATTCCGAATGCTGTGAGACGTCGACGACGAAATGCTGGCAGCACAGACCGCCCCACCCTGGTCCCTCTCTTTGAAAGCGCATGCATCCACCACCAGCACTCAGAAAACAAAACCGACAGCGGGCACCACCCTAAGGCCCTTCCTCTCCCCCATACCCCGCCTTCACCATGGCCTCCTCGCGCGATGCCCCAAACCCCCTCAGGCCATACTACATCCCACCTTCCATTGGCCCGCCTCCAGAGGTTCCGCAGAACCAGACCGTCTCGTCACCACTCCCGCCCGCCTTCAAACCTGCCCCCAGCAACAAATCGAGTCTGGGCAGCCAGGCACGCGACATTCTTTCAGATCTCGACTATGACGCGTACTTTCCAGAGACATCGCCCACAATAGCTGGCCATGCAAAGAAACTGCTGGACCATGCACTGTGGAACTACACAAGTGTGCTGCTTGCCCAGCCGTTCGAGGTAGCGAAGACGATACTGCAGATCCACGAGGCCAAGGGACAGCTTTCTGCGCTCAAGGATGCTGGTGAATGGAGTCATAGGAGAGGGCCAGGGAGCTTTGCCAGTGGAAAGTTTGAGGATGTAGGTACTCTGTCAATGACACCCCCGTCTGACATGTGAATGTGGGCTAAATAACCGTGCAGTTCCCACCCTCAGATGAAGAGTCTGACGAGGACTCTCCGGGATACTTCACCACAACAGCACCGCGCGTAAATCCCACTTCGCCATACTCGCCCAACGACTCGCCATCGAGGTCCCCGCGGAGGCGCCATCGACGACTCGATAGTCGATCCCCCTCGCGGACACCAACTCAACCCCCACCATCGTCGCTAAGGAAACTAGAACTCAAGCGGGCAGACTCTCTTCTCGAAGTGATAGGGCAGTTATGGCAGAAAGAGTCAGCTTGGGGAGTGTGGAAGGGCACAAACTGCACCTTCATCTACAACTTCCTGCTCAAGACGACTGAGGGCTGGTTTAGAAGTCTGATCTCAGCCCTGCTCAATATACCAGACCCTGGGCTCGTTGGGGCAGCAGGAAGCGGCATCGGGGGTCTCGATGTGCTCGACAGTCCAAACCCGTTGACATCCCTCGGTGTCGCTGTAGCAGCAACAGCCATTGCTGCTACCCTCCTCGCACCCCTCGATCTAGTGCGAACACGCCTGATCATCACACCCATCTCCTCCTCCCCGCGCTCCATATACCCATGTCTCTCCCTCCTCCCCTCTCTTTCCGTCTCCCCCGCCCTCCTTCCCGCAACCATAATGCACGCCTGCGTGCCCACCCTCGTCTCTTCATCCACCCCTCTCTTCCTCCGCTCAACACTAGGCATCGACCCTATCCTTACCCCCGCTACCTACTCCTTCAGCACCTTCCTCTCCTCCACCGCCGAACTATTCATCCGTCTTCCCCTCGAGACAGTTCTCCGCCGCGGCCAGGTCGCCGTCCTACAAGAATACGAGGCACAGCGTATTGCACAAGAATATCAGGCTCCACCCAGCCGCTCAAAGAGCCCAGCCTACGGCCTGGACAGGCCGAGTAACGACAACGGATTCGATACTATTGTCGACCCCGGCCAGTATAGGGGCGTTCTGGGTACCTTGTGGTTCATCGTCCGTGAGGAAGGCATCTCAGTCTCGGGTCCCAGCGCGGCTAAAGCAGCAAGCGCAAAAGCAATGGGCTTCTCGCGACCACCCCGTACAAGGAAGGGCCAGGGTGTACATGGCCTATGGAGAGGCTGGAGAGTCGGTGTCTGGGGCTTGGTCGGTATCTGGGGTGCTGCTGCTTTGGGTGGAGGTGGAGGCGAGTTTTAACGCAATAACAAATGCAAATTAGAACTTGCCCGCCCTCTGTTGGAGGTTTTTATGATTTTTTTTCCTGTTTTTTTTCGGTCTTGCGTTGCTGTTATGATCAGCGTATGCGTATGCTAGATACACCAACCACTCTTCGCGGGCGTTGTTGAAAGAAATTCATTCATTCGTACTAGATGCTTCTCTGTCGAGTCGAGACAACAAGAGCTTATCGTGACTGTCTGGTCTGCTACTTATATATGTTAAGTTTACTGTTGATAACGGCAAGCGTACAACAAAGACAATTTTCACAAGACCTGCTCAGATTCCAAAAAAAAACTCCCAAGCAGCTTTTCCATACACTCTTTTTATTCATCATCATCTATGTCATATATCTTATTTTCTCTCTTCATAATCATCATCTACGTACAGTCTTGGTTTCGCAAAAATCCATAACAAGATGCTCCAACTTTTCCCCCTCTTTCCTCTTTCCTCTTTCCTCTTTCCTCCTTCTGTCTCCCTCCCTCCACCCACCATCACCACAACTTCCAGCCCAACTAAGCCCACATAGCCCTAAACTTCATATCAAATTCCTCCTTGAGCGCCTTAAACGCCTTGAGCACATTCAGCAGTCCCTCCCCTTCCTCCCACGCCGGCGGCTCCTTGTCCTCATCCTCTTCAGCATCCCAACTCTCTTCGACTTCCGATTCCTCCTCTTCACTTCCCATTTCATCCTCCCAGCTCTCTTCGACTTTCTTCTTCGCCTTCTTTTTCGGCTGGATCGTGACTTCCTGCTTGAACGCGCCCTTGTTTGAGGAGCCAGCAGTGGTGGCGCTGGCTTCCGTGGCCGTATCACTGGGTAGCATTTTGTCCTCACGGTTCTCCTCTTCGTCGTCGCCGCCGCCACGGACGTCGATGAAGTCGAGGTCGGATTCGGTGGCGAGACCCAGGAAGCTCGAGAGACTGGTGGTGATTGTGGCGAGCGTCATGCTGAGGTCGTTGAGGACGAACCAGACGTCGCCGCGCCGGATCTTGTTGGCTTTGATCAGGGCTTCGACGTCGCCGTGTTGAAAGAAGTCGTAGAGGTAGGCGTTTAGGGGAAGTTCCGAGTCTTCGGGGTAGAGACCGACGTGGGGTACGACGGCTTCTTCAAGGAAGACACCGGAACGGCTGGTGGAGCAGAGGTCGTGGAGAGACTCGAACTTGTCGTCATGACCAGATAGAGCGACGAATGTTGAGCGAGCCTTGATATTTTGGGGCTGGGTCGCACCAGAGCTTGGAGTCTTGCTGCCGACGGTGACTTCGGTGAGGGGCAGAGTGTTGTCTGGCTGTTGGACATGCTGTTCGACGAACGTACGCACATAGGCTGTGAATATATCGAGTGTAGTCTTGTTGTGACGGCGCAAAACGCTGGTGGCTGTCTCTGGCATTGCTGGTAGGAACACAATTGATGGGCTCTTCTTGACCACTTCCTGGACGTACTCTTCATCTGCCTGTCGACAGTACCTTCGGCCAAACAAGTGCGACATCGTCAGCATGAGCTCACGTAGAACATGCTCCCTGTTTGTGTCGATTTTGGCGCACAACTCATGAAAGTATCCGTCTTTTAATAGCGCATGGAATGCAAACGATGAGTTCTCTGTAAAGTAGAGATGTGAGACAGCGCCAGCAAAATTGAGGGGGGTACCCTGCGCATCAAGAAGATACTGCCTGCGGAGATACTCGATAGAAAATCGCAAGTGGTGAAGCACTGTCATCTTCGCATCCTCTCCACCCAGATACAGTCGTGGTTGTGACAACAGGGAATTAACACAGCGGACGGCAAAAGGCGCGTTTCCTGATGAGTGCAGCAAGGTGAACAACCGCAAAACCAAAGTAGTGGTTATAGGGAAGTGGCCATTGAGGTCAGGCAGTCGGGAGCTGATGAGCTTGTGAATCTTGCTGAGTGACACGCCATGGAAGACGACGTTTCCGAGCATGTCGAAACCACGACGACCGGCACGACCAGCTGCCTGACGGAAGTTGAGAGCTGTTAGGAAGACGGAGTCTCCTGAGAAGACCACAGTCTTACATGGCATATTAATACCCAGGGCCAAAGTACCAGTGGCGATGACCACGCGCAGATAGCCCTTGCGGAAAAGCATTTCGACACAGTACCGGTACTTTCGGTTCATACCAGCGTGGTGGACTCCAATTCCACGCATGAGGCCATCAATCAGCCATTCCTCTACACCACGGTAACGCAGCTCCTTTGCGTGTACAGCAAACTCCTCCTGGGACAACTTCTTATGATCGGCAAAGTGAAATCCATCCAGAGGTTTGTTCGGATCAAACGAGGCAAAAGCGCTAACTTCAACATTAGCCGCCTCCTTCATTTGATCTTGCTTGGTCATGCCCTTGGAGGCATCTCCACGGAGACCCTGCTTCTCTCGTCTCTGCACCTCTTTCTTCCAGTCCTCCCATTGTTGCAGCTTGATTTTCCACTTGGGACTTGTTTCTTTCCAGGCAACTTCGGCATCTACAAGTTGCTTCATGAGTGTTCGGCACATCTTCTCGCAAATCGCACGGTCGTAGTTGAAGATGATACCTGGGAGCGCATCTTGTTGCTGCAGATCGGCTAGCAGTGGTAGTATGCTGGAAATATCATGGTTGATCTCCATTCCTAGCTCGTCCACCTCTCCGCCGTTTTCGGCACTGTCTTCCTTGACTTCATCGGTGGGCGATGCTTCCTGAATACGGTCGATGGAACTGCTGAGGTCACTGCGCACCTTCTCAAAAGGCGATGCCTCATCCGCCATCCAAGCGGTGAGAATTTTCTTGAGGCCATCTTGCCATTTGATAATATCTGCCTTCTTGATAATGGTAGGGAGAATCTTAGAGGGGTCGAGTGACTTGTCGACAGGGTACTCATCAGTTTGATGTTTGCACATAGTCTGCCAGAGAGTGAGACAGTCCCGAGCTTCGAGAGACAGATCGCTGGGAAGACCTCGACTTCTGTTTATCAAGCTGGCAACTGGATGCAGGAATGCAAAATCTGCGTGCTCGTCGAGACCGAGCTGAGCAAATGACCGGTTAGCCGGCAGAGGCAAATAGCTCGTTGGGTCACGTTTCGGAGGCGGCGTATAGACAAACTTGCGAAGATCAGAGTATCTGTGCGGATGTTGAACCATCACCAGCTCATTACCAGCAGCTTTTTGACTAGCTGAGAGCCA